ATCTTTACTTGCCCCTAGGCATTATTAGAGATTCACACTAATTTCAGCTGAGCTTTTATTAATTAGGTTTAGGATTATAGTATTATAACCCTGTTATATGCATGTTTTGCACACATACATAGTGTGATTCTCTGAAATCACATTCATTTCCATTTCCTTGTTTTGCATTTATCCGTCTGCTTTCTACCCTCACTTCTTTCCACTCCCCCTTTTTTCTGGTGTCTTCCAGATTACTAAATAAAAGTTTCATTACTACCTAGGTTTGAAAAAATGATTTGATTTCAAAAGATGATGAATTTTAACAGAAGTGAAATGTCAGGCACAGCAGGGACATTTTAAAGCATCAGTAACTTAGGATAGTGGAGCACAACCTCCAATATAATTGTGTTGCAGCTCCTAGTTATAGGGACACAGCGGTCAACTGCTTTGCTATTTAATGTGGTAGCTTAATGCTTCCAAGGTGCAATTGTATATTAAAAGCCTCCTTTCCCCCCTGATGTTACTAAATAATGGGATTTTGCTGCTGGGCTGCACTTCTCTGTTACAGCACAGGTAGTCGGCATTCACCGTGCTGCTCTTTTCAGCAGTGAATACTTAACTAGCTTTCACGACAAATGATATTTCTAGGGTTGGATGAATCTGTACATTGGGGTGTCTCTCAATTTCTCTTTTTTCCAATCATATTTTTTCAACAGTTTGGTTTATAAAAAGCCAGCACAAAGTGTCTGCTTCTCATAATTTTTGTGCATGTCTTTGCCTAATACAGTGTTCTTCAAGCAATTTTCGCCAGTGTAATATATTTTGTGTGCTATTTTCAACAAAGGACACATATTTAGGCATAACTACCTGAAACATTGGGGAAAGTCCAACTATCAAAGGATAACAAAATGAATAAATGAATTCAATATTGATTCAGTATGAAATAGGTAGGGTTACATGACATTACAAACTGAATAAATTGCCCCCTTCCCTAGACACGTCCACCTTGCATTGACATCATTTTTGTTATCTTTGTCATCTTTTTGTTATTGTATTTTTGATGAAGCGATCTCCCCATATCTGTTTCATGCTGAAATGGAGGCCATATAGTGACTCAAAAATTTCAAAACTCATGTGAATTTAAGATTTACATTTCACAAAGTATTTGATTTTATTATTTCCTCTGAAACCCTACCATGCATTTGAAACTTGAGTGGTAGGTAGAAATAAAAGCTATGCAAAGTTGTTAGTAAAATGCATGCCGTTTGAGCCATTCATGGGCGAATTGCAAAGGGGAAGGAGGCAACCTTTGGACAGGGGTTATTACTGCTGCAACATTAAGCAAGCCCTGTTTTATTAAAGTTATGGCTCATGCTGGCATTAGGGCAATAGAGGTGTCAAATCTCCTGTTATTAACTTGACTGCCTAGAGGCATAGATTTCTGCAAACATATCCAAGAGCTAGAGCTAATCTCTATCACAGAGTGGAGGCCAGGGGTAATTACCTTGGCCTAGCATAAGACCAGAGGAGGGACAGTCAAGCAAAAATATAGCATTTTCAAAGGGAAAAGGGAATGAAGGACAAAGAAATAGCGGCAAAGAATATCTTCCACCCAGATATCCTAGAATGGGACATTACACAATCTATATGGCCAAGAGACAGCTATGTTGCTGTTACCATATTACTTATCCATTACAGATTGTTTTAATAGCACAATCATAAAGAAGTCATACAGGGAGGTGAGGATAACGTCACCAGCCTCATTTGTTTTGTTTCAAATATAATGGATAACAGACTGAGAAGAGAGACTGGATTAATGCTGAGAGAAACTGTCCTGGGATACTTGTATTTTTTACGTGGGGAATCAGAGCATTATATCATCAATCTGTATGCTACCTAAAATAGTAACAGGATTACCAGATAATGTGAGAGATGTCAAGAAGACATATAGGTTAGAAGCTGCTCCAAAGATGATGTTTGAAGTAATTTGGATCAGGGGTGGTTTTGAGTCCTTGCTGATTCCACTCACCCTACCCCACCCCCCAAAAACCAAGAGCTACATCAATTCAGAGTGCAAGATAGGCTAGAATAGAGTCAGTATAGTATGAGTCCTGCATTTGCAGGTGATACGTTCCTGAACTTTGCATGGATATGTGAAATTATGGATAATAGCAAGCCCTAGTGAAATGAAGATATTTTGGCCTAAGAGTACCATAGAGCCATGCTGAAGGATCTAGAAAATGCCTAGGGAAGACATACAACCTTCCATATCTACAGATTCTGTATCTACAGAGTCAATCATCCACAGCATAAAAACAACCCCCAGCCCCACTCCAAAAAACAACCCTTGATTTTTTCCATTTTCTATAAGGGGTACCACTTTACTATACCATTGTAGATTATGTACATAATGGGACTTGAGCATCCACAGATTTTGGTATCAGTGCAGTGGTGGTGTTCTGGAACAAAATCCCATCAGATACCAAGAGCTCACTGCATTTTGTTGAACATAAATAAATTATACCTTGGATACCAGTCCCTCAGATATGGGGCTACATACAGCAGGATTGCAAGACTTAAATTTTGTGTGTTTGTTTGTGCATTTCTTTGTGCATATTATAGAGTCAGTATGATGTGGTAGCTTGAGCACTGGACTATGATTGTGACACTAGAATTGAAATCCTTGCTTGGCCATCCTTCTTGGGCAAATTTCTCTGTCAGCCTCAGAGAAAGGCAAAGGAAACCCACACCTAAAACCATCTTTCCAAGAAAACCCTGTGATGAATTTACTTTAGAGTCACTATAAGTCGGAAACAAGGTGACTACGAGAATACAGATTTTCTTCCCAATATATGCATTCATGGGAGCCCCCAGTGGTGCAGTGGGTTAAACCACTGAGCTGCTAAACTTATTGACTGAAAGGTCACAGGTTCAAATCCGGGGAGTGGCGTGAGCTTCTGCTGTCAGCCCCAGATTCTGCCAACCTAGCAGTTCGAAAACATGCAAATGTGAGTAGATCAATAGGTACCGTTCCAGCGGGAAGGTAATGGCACTCCATGCAGTCATACTGGCCACATGGCCTTAGAGGTGTCTATGGACAACACCGGCTCTTCAGTTTAGAAATGGAGGTGAGCACCAATCCCCTGAGTTGAACATGACTGGACTTAATGTCAGGGGAAAAGCTTTACCTTTACCCTATATGCATTCACACAGAACATAGCACTAATACAAATGCTAAGTAGTATGATCTTGCCAACTAACAAAGACTCAATGGCACCAGATTCTGGAGGATCTCTAAATGTTTGGGCATCATAGGCTCATTCACACTACTCAATCCTAGCGCAATCACTCCATTTTAATTACCATAGTTCCATCCTATGGAATCCTGGGATTGACAGTTTAGGGAAGGGCAGCCAAAGTGCTCCAGTGCCTCACTCAACTACAAACACCAGGATTGCTTTAGGTGGAACCATGGCGGTTAAAGTGGAATATTAGCACTATAATTGTGTAGTGTGAACAGGTTTCAGCAGTCTCTTACACTATGTGTGGATAGTGAACATCTGCAGGTATACAAGTCATTTAGGGAGCAGAGGACATCCGATCTAGGAAGAATGCAAGATTTCCCTGCCTCTTTGAGCCCAACAAAGTTGTGATAATAATCATTTTAAGAATTGACATGTGAACAAAGAAATACTATTTAATTAATACCTGTGTTTAACAGGTTCATTAATCAATTCAATATGCATGAATTTGCACATGAATGATGCTGTTATTCTAGTGCAGTGGTTCTCAACCTGTGGGTCCCCAGGTGTTTTAGCCTACAACTCCAAGAAATCCCAGCCAGTTTACCAGCTGTTAGGATTTCTGGGAGATGAAAGCTAAAACATCTGGGGGCCCACAGGTTGAGAACCACTGCTCTAGTCAGTAGGTACTTTCTTTATAGAAAAATGCATATATCACTCACAACCAGTTATCACCTTAGGTTGATACACGTTGTATTAAAATGTAGCACATAGATCTGTATGAGTTTTCTGTTTATTTATAAGTAAAAATGGCCTTGTAGATTTTTTATTTAACATGACAAGTAGTGTAATCATGTCAGAATAGGGGGTATGCTTTTTCTAAGATGGTGCATAGGTATCTATAGGTTTTACAGTTACATTAAAATCATTTAACATATGAACTGTTTTTCTAAAAAGGTATCTTTCTAGGGAGTAAACAGGCTTTTTATGATTCAGTTCTGTAGTGTCTGGGACAGTTTTCCAGGGATGAGGTTGTTCCCCTTTAGACCAAGAAATAGAAAAACATTTCTAGAGCCAGACCCAATATTTCAATGGGAAGAAACTAGTATTATTTTTAACTAGCAAACTGTTGCTTCTCCCTCCTGCCTTTCCAGCAGGAATACTGGAAGGATGATATACTCAGATGTGCTCTGTTACAATGATGTGATTGATCATTATGTGAATTTCCATTAAGTAAAATTATTACTAAATAAATGTCCTAAATGTCAGTGTGCACCTCACCCAGAGGAGACTTGCTGAATGATTTTTTTCTTATGTGATGACTCGTACTCCACAATTGTATCAGTAAGTCTCCGTAGTTGGAATGAGGCAATAGGATTCAGGCCAAAAAGATCAGCTTCATATGGAGCACATTGAATGCAACAATACCTTCACTCCTAAAATGTAGCTACAATAGCAATGGCATTACAGGTGGAAAGAAAAAAAACCTTGAAATTTTTTGCAGAAATTAAGTCCTGAACTGAAAACCACCTTCAAAATTGTACAAGTTTGAAGATGGGTTGCAGTTTGGAAAATAATCTTGTTTGCTTTACAGTTTGAGAAATAGTCAAGACTTTCTTGCAGGAGGAACAAAATCATTAAAAGTACTCATTGTTTCTTTCAAGAACATCATTAGAGGAGAATTACATCTCTAGGTAGCACAGAAAGTGTGTTTGTGTGTTTTGTAAAAGCTTATTTTCTGCTTCTACATTTCTGAATTTTACCTTTTTATCATTTTAGGGATCTACATGCCAGTATTTAATGCCAAAAGGCCATGGAAAGAGGCTGGTCCTGATAGCCAGGCTTACCACCAGAGCTACCTCCTCCTTTTCCAGCATCAAGAAAGCCATGCCCTGTGGATAAGCTGTGATCTCCTGGGGGTGATAGCAAGCTCTTGAGAATGTCAAGGACATGCCCTGTCTGGATGAGCCAAGAGGAGCCCTCCTGCAGCCTGCATGCACTGTCCCAGCCAACAAGAGGCCCCACCCTGTACATAGCCAATGAGATGTCTGTAAAGGATTGCACCCTCTTGTACATTCCCCTCTCTTTCCCTTTCAACTTGTTGATTGTGTCAAAATTGTCAGAGTTTGTAATAGTAACTTTCAGAAAATATTGTACTAAAAAGAAAATTGCACTCAATAAAAATCATGAAAATAACTGTGGCCTTTAAAAAAACTAATATAAAAGATTGAAGAATATTATCCAAGAAAGAGGCAAGATGGCCCCTCCCTGATCTCATTATGTTAACATCAATTATCAATTTGTAGGCGCAAGAACATTAAAATGCTTGTCCTACACAATATTTTGCATTTGGGTAAAATCACAAAGTATTACTTTCCCTTCTGAAGGATATATACACAATTCAGAAAAAAAATCTTATTTTAAACAATATTGAAAAGTATGGCCCTCACTTCCATCTACTTCCAAGATGACTGAAGAGTATTTAGAAACAGCATATCCACAGATACTTCATATATGAACATCATGGTGATACACATACACATAAATACAAATGCACAAAAGTGCACATGCATCCAATTCTTTGCTTCTTTACCTAGAAATCATGGCTCCTACTGAATTTCTGTGGCAAGTTTTTTTTATGAAAGTATTGCAGTATTGGTTTCTGACCTGCTACTTACATATGAAATTGCATTTCTGAAATAAAAGTTGTGTAAGTCCTGTTTGCTACAGGTAGTGACAAACGAGGTCCAGCATCCCAACACATGTATGTTGTTTTAGAAAGAACTGGCAAAACCACTTCTTGAGTATTCCTTGCCTAAGAAAACTATAACAGTCATGAGACCACCATACATTAACATGCAACTTGAAGGCATGCAAACCTGCATAAGTTGTATTATACATCTTTGGGGAAATTATTCACTATAACACAATAAACATATTTTGCTGACAGAAAGGGAAACAAAAGTATGCATACAGAAATGTTATGGTTACACATTGTGCAATGTATGATGGCACCCAATCATTGATATGTTTTGAGAAATCTTGCTATTCTGCATATGAGTTGCATAGTTCTGATGTACTGTAGCTCCACATATCAATATTTATACTACCCTCAGGGGATGTTGGAATGTGGCCAAGATAAGAAGTCATGAGTGAAAAACTGGAAATGTGTTGTTTTTTTCAGTAGTGTTGTTAAGAAACTTGGATTACAGCAATTCAATTGCCAGATCCCACTAGTAATAATGGGGGAGCAGCCATTTTGATTTTTTAGTCTGAGAAATGGAAATGCAGTATTATTACCTGGCAGGTTTCTTTCTATTCTAATTGTGACTCCAAATATTTTACTTTCTTCAGGAGCATTAATTGCATTAGTTAATGTAGAGTGGAAAAAATAAAGTACTGATTGAAAAGACTCCACTTGGAACCGATATGAGGCAAACCTTTCTGCCTTAGGTAATCTCCCACCAAGACTTAAGCCAGCTTCTGTTTTCATAGTTCCATCAAAGAGTGTCTTTCTTGGTTCAATCCTTTAACATCTGAGAAAGAAAACAATAACCCAAAATAATTGAAGACCAAGCTCTTAAATGATGAACTTCTGTCTGGGCTGTACCATAGCATATCACAGACTGGAGAACTCCCATCACAGCTTGCATGGGCAAAGAAAGGTAATAAGAAGAAAAAGGCATATGCATAGGAAATTAGAAACAAAGGAGAAAGATCGTATCCTAGCTTTACACAGAGAGACCCTGGATCCTTTCATGCTATACAAATACCAGACACTACCTGCATCAGTGGAACTAGTATTTGCAGTTTCATTTATCCATGTACAACAAAATTTCTCTAGGATTTTTTAGGTCCTTTTGAATGGCCCTATGGTATTCCTGGACCAGAAGCATTCTGAAAGAGTTCAATCCAGACATACATTAATCAGCTCAGTAGGATCCAAGCCTAAGTAGGCTAGTACCTTGTGAAGAATTTCCTGGTATCTGGTCTTTTATCGTTCCACCTAAACTCCACTATCCTTCTGCCTTAGCAACTGTCACTTTACTAGTAGTAAAGAAATACAAGAGACTTCACAATTTGTTCTTCACATACTAGCAGTACTGTATTTCTTAGTCAAGGCCACTTGGGAGGAGCTGTGACTTTAGGAATGCATGAAACATTTACACATCAAATCCCCAGGCTTTGCTTTCACAGTATTACTTGGAAATAACATCCTTCAATTGTTATGCCAGATTTGAGGTTACCTTTTACAAAATAGAACATGCTGCCTTACAGCACTTGTTTACTTTGTACAATATGGGCTGCAGCATTTTCTCACATTTCACTTCTACCTACTGATTTGCGCATTGACCCCCAACTCAAACCCCCCTTCCCCCCACCCAATCTTTGGGTTTTGTTTATTCCTTCAGAAAAGCCTTGGAACCATATAGATTGTCACAATGATTTCCCCCCCAATAAAATCTCGTTCCAAACAAGATAGTCACACAACTCTTCCATGAAAACATAATGGAAATCCCAGCATTCTAGTTTGCAACATAGTAGCACCCTAGAATCTCTTCTTTGAAATTAATTTCTGCTTCCAGGAAAACCCAAAACCTTTAATTTTCTTTCAGTAGTGAACAGTAAAGAACAAGAGGGGGATTCTGCATGGTTTTGGCCTGCAATAAGTAATCATTGGAGGAGTTTTGGTTTTGAAAATTAGCATTCTGCTAGGCATAGGTTGACTAAGAAATTTAGTAAAGATGTGACCTACATCTTTTCAAAAAACATTAAATTAGGTGGGGGAACATTGCTGTCATGAGTAACACAAACAATCTTCTTATAAATTAAATGGGTCCTGTAATAGACTTAAGGTGTCCCTTTAACCTCATCAAATGTGCCACCAAAATTGCCATGGATTGCATTGATTCTGGCAGTTCCCCTCTGGGGGGCATGGGGAACCCATCTCCTCATGCCCCATATCACCCAACTCACCCAAGTCCCCATCTCATGGGAGGAAGTGTCTACCACTCGGATTCCCCTTGTTAATCCAAGGCAACACAAGAAGCTTACTGTGTTGCCACTGTGGCTGCATGCACCAGCTCACCTTCCCCTTTATAATGGAGCCCCACTAAAGGTGGCAGATCATCATGGGATGGGAGCCAGAAGGCTCCGTCATAAAAGGATAGGCGAACCAATGCATACCACCGATTTCACCCCCATCTGATGAGGTTGTTGGGTATATGTGGGACTTTCAAAGTATGAAAGGAGCACAGGATAAGAATGAATGCTCATGGTTGTACTAGCTGACCCTAGTGAAATTCAAACTACAAGAGAAATCTTAGATAAAACACATTGGAAATCTCTTATGTAAACTAGGAGTAAAAATTTGCTGCTTGCAGCCTAGGGAGACCAAATATGAGCTGCCCTTTAAACTTTCAGGATTCGTCCATTCTTTTCAGATGAAAGAACTCTTAGGGCTTCATCAGATTAGACTTCCTCCATCCTAGGACGCTGGTGAGACACAGCCAGGATGGAACATACTGGAGCCTTATTACATGATGCAGAACTACTTCCAGTGGGGCACCATCCCATCTCCATATTGCTGTGTCTCACCAGTGTGCTGAGAGGCTGCCCTGAGAGCATGGGTGACAACTTGTGTTCTTATAGACTAAGCTGTGGACAGTGCAGGAAAAAACCAGGGGCAGACTGGAAATGCTCTGGGATGGTAAGGAGGTGATGTGGGGCACTGTTTGATTATTTCCTCCACAGTTCAACAGATTTGTCCCACTGCCCCACAGATTCCCCCACTATCCTTCAGCTTATGGACTTCTGTCCGATGAGGTACTTAGATTGCTCCCAACATGACTTAATAGTGGTTTTCCCCCAGCTTTCATCAAAAAACAATTAAAAGATCCCCTTACACCTAGAAGTCACCAGGTGTAATGTGATATCATTTCTGGTGAGCTAAAATGACATCAATTGTACACTGCCAGTATCTGGAGAAACTGGAAATGGTGCAGTGCAGTCTAGAGTGTGCCCACCTGGTTTTAACTCCCAATGCAATTGAACATGATCCATCCCAAAATGGATGACCAGACAGGAAATAATACAGAAGCAGGAACACTGTAGCCAATTAGTAAGTAGGACCCAAGGTAAAATGAAAACAAGGCCCCATCAGTGTTGGAAAGATGGTGAGCAAGAGCGGCGCTTGGAAGATTAGGACTGAAAATTAATTTAATCATGCTAAGAGACTTGGAAACTAATATGTGAAATGGTTTATTTAGTTAAGTGATAATTAATTTGCTTTTGAAAAAAATGACTCTCAGAATAAACAATGAGATTTGAAGAAAATCTAATAGGTCCTGCCAACATTGACCCTAGATGTATATTTATATTTTGTTACTGGCATCAAGTGTTCTTTTTGTTATTTCAAAATTCTTTCCCCCATATTAATATTTTCCCTCCATTTAAACTACACATTCCTATATAACGTTGTTGCCTGGGGATGGTGTGAGTTCAACATGTCAGAAAGCTGCCAGGTTTGACAAGGGCTGTCCAAAAGTGTGAGATTTCATCTATTTTCATCACTGATCGACATCTTTTCTTCTTAATAATAACCTCTCTCCTCTCAACAGCGTGCATAGTAATCACATGACCTGTCCAACTCATCCCATAGCTAAGCCTAAGCATGTGCAATTATACAGTTATTAAAACAACTTTCCCCATGTCAATAGATTTCAAGATACACTATCAAGCAACAACGATACTACAAAATAATTCATAATCCACTGAGATCTAATCAATGTAACAGTGAGATTTTATAATCCAAGAAAGTAAATTGAAACAGTACTACTATAGAACAAGGGTAAATAGCAAGGTCTAAACTTGGTGGCCAAAGGAAATCAACAATGGACTTTCTGGTATTCCAGTGTAGTGACATTAACTGGAGCTCTATAGTCAATAACATTATCTTCACACAATGTATTGCTCCTTATGCTGAGATGCAAAGGAGCACCCATATCTGATAAAAGGTGCATACAGTGAACTTTCTAATATTCAGGTTCAAAGTCATTTAGATCCTGAAAAACACAGCGTTCTTTTCTTTTTGATTCCTGCTTCCATGGGCTGCATCATCCTGTGTTGTTTCTCCTGTATGGACTTCTCATGTCTTGTGTAAACTACCTTAAACAGTGATGATGCCATATATAACC